CTGGGCCACTGGGGAACGCTGAGGACAGGTACGGGCGGGGGGCGGGGCGCCGCGGTGCAACACGGAATAACATGTTCGGGGCAGAGGGGGCACTGGGCAGAGGTTCCACTGGGCCGCTGGGGAACGATGGGAAAGGGTAGAAGGGGGGGCGGGGAGGAGAAGGTGCGACACGGAATGGAATGGTCGGGGCGGAGGGGGCACTGGGCGGAGGTTCCACCGGGCCGCTGGGGAACGCTGGGGACAGGTACGGGCGGGGAGGGGGGAAGTGCGGCGCGACGCGGAATAACACGGTCGGGGCGGAGGGGGCACTGGGCAGAAGTTCCACTGGACCACTGGGGAACGCTGGTGAAGCGTAAGAGGGGGCGGGGAAGGGGGGGCACGGTGCGACACGGAATGGAATGGTCGGGGCGGAGGGGGCACTGGGCGGAGGTGTCACTGGGCCGCTGGGGAACGAAGGCGAGGGGTAGTTGGGGGGCCGGGAGGGGGGGGGTGCGACGCGGAATAACATGGTCGGGGCGGAGGGCCACTGGGCAGAAGTTCCACTGGGCCGCTGAGGAAAGGTGGGGAAGGGTAGGAGGGAGAAAGGGAGGATGGGGCGCGGTGCGACGCGGAAAAAAATGGTCGGGGCGGAGCGGGCACTGGGCGGAGGTTCCACTGGGCCGCTGGGGACAGGGGTAGGAAGGGGCGGGGAGGGGGGGGCGGTGCGACGCGGAATAAAAAAGGTCGGGGCGGAGGGGGCCCTGGGCGGAGGCTCCACTTGGCCGCTGGGGAACGCTGGGGAGGGTTAGGAGGGGGGCGGGAAGGGGGCGGAGGGCAGTGCGACGCGGAATAAGATAGTCGGAGCTCTAGACACCCTGTGCAAGAGAATAATTCCTCCCTGTCGCACCCCGAGGCCAGTTTTTAGGGCGGGCCGGGCGTTTCGCCCGAGACTTCCTCGCCAATTACGACTCTGAAGCTTAACAATGACAACGGCTTCACAGATGGAGGGCGGGTCGTTTTCAAAATGTGGCTCTCGCCTTCGCGCCGCGCACATGCGTTGCATGTGTTGCAAGAGCTTCACGAATTGAGGGCGGGTCGTTTTCAAAATGTGGCTTTCGCTTCAGCGCCGCGCACAGTCGTATTACAAGATTTACAAGAGCTTTATAGATTTAGGGCAAGTGGTTTTCAACATGTAGCTCTCGCTTTAGCGCCGAGCATATTCGTTTCAATATATACAAGAGTCCCACGGATTGAAGGAAGGTCGTTTTCAAAATGTGGCTCTCGCCTTAGCGCCGCGCACATTCGTATTACAAACTTACAAGAGCTTCACTGATTTAGGGCAAGTGGTTTTCAACATGTAGCTCTCGCCTTAGCGCCGCGCGCTTTCGTTTTAAATGTACAATAGCTTCACGGATTAAGGGCGGGTCGTCTTCAAAATGTAGCTCTCGCCTTAGCGCCGCGCACATTCGCTTTCACAAATGACAAGAGCTTCACGGATTGAAGGCTGGTTCTTTTCAAAATGTGGCTCTCGCCTTAGCGCCGCGCACATTCGTTTCAAACATCCGCCAGGAGCTTCACGGATTGAGGGCGGGTTCTTATCAAAACGTGGCTCTCGCCTCAGCGCCGCGCCCACTCGCTTTAAACCTTTTGCGAGGGCTTCGCGGATTCCCATGACCAACTTGCCAGAAAATTTGCGTTGGAAGGATTCAGGATTACGCTGGTGCAACAATTATGTTGGTTCACGGTGCTGAAATCCCCCAAATGACGTTCTGGCACCATTCTGGATCGTCAAGACACAGCAGTAAAATTGATCCGTGGCGTTGGGATCCCGAGAACCATGTTTTAGCATGCGTCAGGGTCTTTAACAGGATGTCTTCCAACGCGGCAGTTCCCTCAATGGGCATGAGCCGTTGTAGGGGCCTATGAACAGGGAGCTTGGAAAGAGGGTCAAATCAAACATCGTTGATGACTCTTGGGTTTACATTGGTCCTCCTCCTCCTCCTACTCCTCCTCCTCCTCCTCACCCTCCTCCTCCTCCTCCTCCTCCTCCTCCTCCTCCTCCTCCTCCTCCTCCTCCTCTTCCCTCTCCACCCACCTCCTCCTCCTCCTCCTCCTCCTCCTCCTCCTCCTCCTCCTCCTCCTCCTCCTCCTCCTCCTCCTCCTCCTCCTCCCCCTCCCCCTCCTTCCCTTAAATCCCGCTCCTCATTCCTGCCCCTCCTCGCTCCAACCCTCCGCCTGCTGCTCCGTACTGGCCCCCGCATCCTCCCACCTCCCTCCTCGTCCTCCTATCCCATTGTCCTCCCTTTTCCTGCTCCCTCCTCCTCCTCCTCCTCCACCTCCCCCTCGTCGTCCCCATCCCTCCTCCTCACCCTCCTCCCTCTCTTCGTGCCCTCCCCCTACCCCTCCTTCTCCTCCTTCCTCCTCCTCCTCCTCCGTCCTCCTCCTCCTCATCCTCGCCACTCCACCATCCATCTTCCTCCATCCTCGCCTATCATCCTCCATGCCCCATGCCCCCTCCATATCCTCCCTCCTCCCACCACCTCGTCATCCTCCATGCTCCCGCCTCCCTCCCCCTCCCCTCCTCCTCCTCCTCCACCTCACTCAGCCTCCTCCTCACCCCCCCCATCCTGCTCCAAACTTCGTCTTCCTCCTCCTCCTCCTCCTCCTCCTCCTCCTCTCCTCCTCTTCCTCCTCCTCCTCCTCCTCCTCCTCCTCCTCCTCCTCCCCATCCCCCCCTCTCTTCCTTCCCCCAGACCTCATCCTTCCCGCCCTCCTTCCTCCTCCTCCTCGGCCGAGACCGCATCCCTCCAACCCTCGGCGGCACCGCCCGCCGCCGCTGCGTGCGACGTCCTCGTTGTCGAGCTGTCGGGCCAGCGCCGCCCGCCGCTCGGGGAGCCTTCTGGCGGGCCACGGCTGGCCACACGGCGCGGCGGCGACGGCGACGGCGGCGGCAGGCGAGGGAACGACGGCAACGCAGGCGACAGCGACGGCAACGTGCAAAGGATTACGAATGACGACGACGGCGGCGCCGGTGACGACGACGACGACGACGACGACGACGACGACGACGAAGGGAGACGGGAGCGGCGGCAACGTCACCGGCGACGACGCCGACGAGGGCGATCCCTCCTCCTCACACCCCCTTCCTCCCTCCGCATAGCCCTCTGGAGCTGTCCACAGACCTCCACAAAGGCTGCGCTGCGCATACCAGATAGGGCATTACTGTCATTGTCGAATGGATGATTTAAGTTGGCATGCTCTGGACGTAAGTGGTGGAGGTTCCATGGCCAGCGTACGCAGTCTCTAAGATCCTGCCGTAAGCCAAGTTACCAGCCCAGCTTGACCACATTATGATAATCGGGCAAAGCCGGAATTACGGGGGGAGACCATGTACGAGGCTGCTGGAGGCTAGCATCGGCTACGTGATGAGAGCTTCGAATGGCCGCCCCAAGTACTGGGTTACACCAGGACGTATCAGGGACGGGCACCGTTACGGTCAAGGACGTGTGCTTAGCATGTCGCGCCGCCAGTTCTGCCGCACAGCGCTTCGGCGCGCCACTCTCAGCACGCCCCAATGACCAAGCATCAACGTTCCGAACTTTTCCAGGCCTTCCAGCACAAGAAGCAGAGCGACACACTATCAGCTTGCAAAGTGTAACGTGTCGCAGAGGCCGCCGCAGCGAAACGCTATGCAAACGTTACAGACCGCATCTGGGCGGTACATCACCTCTCCTGACCTGTTTACGTTCGGCTCGAGCCGGCTCACCCACCGCATGTCACAAAATGAGAAGGTGCTATCATGTTGCTGGAAACTCTGCACATACAGTCGGCCCACATCATAAGGATCCGCGGTAAGGAAGCAAGTGCCTTGGACGCCCATCTCGAAGCTTGTCCAGCGGGGCGTGGCCAAGGATGGACCGAGAAGGCAAGGATGCAAGGGTACCCTGGGGAAGGCTGCCCATCCTTACTATGCGGGTTGACTGTATGTGCAAAGCGTTCACATGAGATATCATAGATTCAGGAACTGCACCAACATGTAGTAACGGTCGAGGCACGGTACTCAGCAGAGCGGCCTTTCCCAGCGACGACCTGGAAAGACCTCGTGACCTCCAAGGCACTCCGGACGCCTCCAGAGGAGCAGGTTACTGGATGGATTACAGACAACCCGTATCATAAGGATGCGCAGTCAGGATCCAAGGGCCTTGGAGGCCCACGCGAACGTTTTTCGAACGAGGCTGGCCAGCGAAAGTCGCTAAGGATGGGCCGAAGGGGAAAGTATGCCAGGGTACCCTTGGAAAAATTGCCAATCCTTACTATGCGGGTGGACTGTACGTCATCCTGGGGGTTTTTGAACCTGCTGGGGGCCTCTCGCCGCAAGGGCCAGATTCGTCTCGCAGCCCTGGGTCGGAACACGCTCCAGGAGAGAGCGGAGGTCCACTTTGAGGGGGACGGGCTGAGGACGACGACGGCGGCGATGACGAACGAAGAAAAGGACGGCGTCGACGAACACGACAGAGATCACGACGACGACAGCGCTGAAGACGACAACGGCAACAAAGCGTTTGCCAGCCTGTATGCCAGTAGGAGCTGGCCAGTGACATGGTGCATGCGCTCTGTTCGCCCTGACCATGCACATGGGAAACATAACAAGAATATTGAGCATGGTTGACTTCGCATTCTATACTTGCTCCTGACTTCCCTCCTCTTACTCATCCGGTTCCTCCCTGCCCTCGTCACTTCCCACCGCTCTCAGAGGCCTCCCACATGCGGCAGTAGAAGTCGATGGGGTCGGAGGATCGCGCCATAGCGCCACTGCACCGTCGAAGCATTGGCGACGTCGGCAATGCACCGGCGACGTCGGCGTGGAGAGGATCGGGCTTCACATCGAGCCGCACCGCTAATGTTTCAGCGACGCGGCGCGATCCTCCGGCCCCATCGGCTCCGACCCCATCGGGGCGGCCCGGAGCTTCAATGGTCTCACCTCCTCGAGCAAAAAAACATGCGAGCGCGCCCTGCGTGACTCATGTGCAGCCGCTCGATGGCGTCCGGGTTGTAGGATCCCCCGTGCAGTTTGTTGACGGCCGCAACATGCTCCTGGTGGCAGGGGGTGGCAGGAGAGGGAGGAAGAATGTCACCCCAGGCTTGGGTGCTGAAGGGGTGCCCGCTTCGACCCCCGGTACTCTCACGGATCGATCCCGCTCGAGAAGTGTAACAGCAAGACGGTGTCCAGGCCTCCAGTCTGGCTTCTGTTGCGATGCTAACTGGTTCGATGACGTCGGACCTCAGAGTAGCTGCCCTATCTGACACCATGGAAGGGGGGAAGGGAGCCCCACACAGCTCCCCCCCCCCGGTGGGGCCAACAGTTCCATGTGTCCACGAGCCCGCTGCACGGTGGAGCGGAGGAGAGCGTGCGCAGAACCACGGCCGCCCGCTCCCTGGCGTGCCTCCCCCGAGTCATCGAGGCAGGCTCGCCTCTGCTGCCTCACGCTCAGTGACGATAGCCATCAAAACCTACCCGTTCCTCAGACATCCGGCCGCTCCACTTTTTTTCAACGAGCGGGCCCGGGACATCTGGACCACCTCCCCAGGGCCAGTGTTTCGTGCTGGGTCGTTCTCTGACGGCCCCGAGGCCTGGCGGGGCCCCCCGGAGGCCGAAAGTGGCCCCAAACCCCGCTACCCCAAGTTTTGTTTGTGGGGCGTCGGATCCCTGGGCAGCCATCAGAAACCACCCGTTCCCCCCAGCGCACCCCGGGTGCGGGCAACACGCGGGAGGGCACGCGCAAGCCGCTCGGCGATGGGGGAGGCCAGGCCTCTAGGACGCGGGGTGGCGGCCGGGTGGCCCTGGGAGCGCCACGGCGCGGAGCAGGCACACACGTCGGAACGGGGCGCGCGCTGTGGCGGCGGGCACAAGGGGGGTGTGGGTTAGGGTTCGGTCGGACATGTCTTCCTACAGGCGGGTCTTGGAAGAACAATGAAAAATATATGTTCGATCGGTAGAACTGTTTTTTTTATATAAAGATAGAAAATTCGTCCCCAGACTATTTCTCTACGATTTTTGAATAATCCTCCTGTAGAGGAACGTGCCCGACTTAAGGTTAGGGGGAGGCTTCGTGGAAGCACCCCTGCTTCTCAGAAGGTGGCGGCCTCACATCTGCAGATGCGGCCCGCGCCTTCTGGGAGGCAGGGGTGCTTCTGAGAAGCCTCCCCCCCCTCCCCCCACCCCCCTCTGCGCGTGGCCCGGCGCTGTAACTTCCGGCGCCGCATCCACAAGGCAGCCGACCTGCCTGCCTCGACAAGGGGACGGCTCAGCCTGCCGGGAGGTCCTCTCCTGGGGTGCGTTCTGACAAAGATTAGGTCGGGCATGTCCCCCTACAGGCGGATTTTGGACGACAGATATAAAATACCCCAAAAATCACCCAAAACGTTTCACACATTATCAAGACATCGTCCCCATACTACTTGTGTCTTTACTATGCTTGAACACTCCCCCTGCAGAGGGACACGCCCGACTCAGGACCAGGACTTCGAGACGAATCCAGCCGTGGCGGCCCAAAACGGGGAAAACGAGAGGTGGGAACCAATCTTGGTGGCTGAAGAGGAAGAGAAGGAGGAGGAGGAGGAGGAGGAGGAGGAGGAGGAGGAGGAGGAGGAGGGGGAGGAGAAGCAGGAGGAGGGGGAGAAGGGTGCCCTCTCCTCCTCCGCAGCAGCCCAAGGTCGCGCAGGCCAGACTCACCCGCAAGCCGACGACTCTCGTGGCGATCGGCGCCCGCTCTCGCCGTCGCGCGCGAGGCAGCGAGCGCTCGAAGAAGCCGGACTACAGTCGGGGCGTTGACCTAAGGAACGCTAAATAAGGAACGAGGCTCCTTTCCCCCATCAGTGAAAGTTCGATTCCCCCATCGAAAACCTAGGGAAAACCTCAGGCAAGCTGTCCAACAATCAAGGAACACGGAGCACCTCCCCAACGAAAAGGGTTCCTTCTTCAGGGCCCCGGCTGTACCTACCAGACCACCCCAACCCAAGCCGAAGACCCGAGTTTCGCCCGAGTTTCGGGCTCTGGGGGGGGGTACGGGCTTAGCATGTGGCTTTGTCAATGCTCCCCGACCCCCCCCCCACCACTGGAACTAGAGGGCAAATCGGGGC